ACAAGTCATTAATAATAATCATAATAATAATAATGGAACATACGAAATGTAATAATAATGTTTCTCATGAGATTTATCATTGCATTGAAAAATTCGATACAGTGATAAATGTCATTTAGACGTCTGATAAATAAATGTACAGATTGAAATACGATATTCTAAATACATAATGGTTACTTGATACTATTGACCTTATTCCACATTAAGTCATATCATTGAAATAGAAATTTATTTCACTAGACATAGGCTTGTTCATTGACACTTCATTCAACCTATATTACATATATGCTTGTCAAAGAAGGTTATTTTTTCAACATTCAGCGATTTACTGTTTGACAGTTTAAGAGTAATTATTTTCCCTTTTGACGGAAAATGTACATACAGTTATTCATTGTTCGTCTAGTATGTTTAACAAAGGAAACTGTTGGATTTGGAAATATAATTTCAGTCTTTCTAATTAATTAACGTTTACAATGTTATTTACTAATGAAAATAAAAAATTCAGATCATTCATTTGAAAGGCTGTGCACTTCAAAACCATTGACTGTTAGCATTAACTACCAAAAAATATTATGCCCACCTCACAAATACAATTACCGTATTATATGACTGAGTACACTAACATGTATTTTTTTTAGGTGATCATTAATAAGTGATCAACTACAAATAATGTACAGGTCAAAATATTTTATGCTTTCAATGGATTTACAAAAAATCTTGATAACCTTGATATTGCGTTCATTTTCGAAACCTTTTCATAGCTAAACTAATCAACTTTTTGGTATTAAGAATAACGGTTTGCAAAATAACTGAACTATAAAGATTATTTGCTTTTTTCTCAGACATTATTACTAATTTCAGACAGCGTAAAAGTTGCTTCATTTACACATCTTTTACGGTTAGCGTGACTTCGGCATGCCCCTTTCACTTTCTCTTCATCATGATTTATTCATGTATTTACATGAATATAACGTTTATTAAGTGAGCGAACTATGTGTTAAATTAACTTATGGGAATACCTAAATGAAAATCTGTTCACTAATTGTGTATTAAACATTTGAGACTACCTTTGAAATTCAATAATCACCATTATCAATTATTAATAACAATTGTCAGTTTTTTCAAAAATTAACTTTCAATGATCCACAGATTGTTATTATCACTCTTGTCACGATAACTGATAACTTTAGTTGCATTTCTATTTCATAAAAAGAAATTACATTCACTAACAGGAGTATAGAAGGGTAATGAAAAGGATTTGTTTTTGTTTTTTTCAAAGTTAAAATTTTTTACAAAACTCAGATGGAACAATGCGAAAATAGTTCATTATTGTAAATAATAATCGGATGTAAAAATGTCAATTCTTACATCCAATAAAAGCACTTTATTCTAGTTCGATTTGAACGAATCAGATCACAAAGCTGCACCATTTACAACCAATTAAAAAATTATTACAGGTGACAAAATGTTTGTTCATTTGCACTTGAGCACACACTTTCAAAGACAAATTCACCAATCACCAATTGCTAAATTTTTTTCACATCCTTTAATTTCCAAAAAAGGGTGGTAGGGGATTATACGAGCCGTGATTCTAATGTCAACCTGTCAATTGAACTATTATCTGGCCCATAAATTATTTTCTTCCTTACCCCTTTGATTAGTACGTCACTTCATTTGTTATTTATTGTCGAATCCATTTATAATGCAATCTTCCCTAGCCTCTTGTAGACATATATTTTCCATATAACTATATATACGAATGTACAGCTTAAGTAAATGATTTCGTCGAAAAGAAAATTTTCTTCGCTGGATTCTCTTTTTCTTATTCAATGACATTATGAGTTATTTTAGTTACTTCTTGACAGTGTGAATCTACGGACTTCCCAATGACCGAACCCCCAATTTTAAAGTCTAGCTGAAGGTGCTTAATTTTCAGCCAATTTGAAATACTACCTTACGCTATCTGTGATATTTATCCTGTTATTTTGTGATGCAACCTACAAAATGCATCAGTTTATACAAACCCCATTTATTGAAAATGATTATCGTTGTATTACGCGTTCGAGTGGGTCAATAAATTGTATAACAATTTGCCATATGAATTCACTTAGTATTGTTTGTTTGGATCTTCCCATCGATGTGTTTAGGACTGCAACTGGTCAGTCTCTAATTTGCCATATGTTCTCTCTCTATGAATACAGCATTAACTGCTTTCGTTTATCACTAAATGGATACGATTGAAATTATGATAAATCCGATCTGGTAGGGCATTTATTTATTTTGTTAATCGAGATGTGACATTATTTCCCTTGTCATTCAGATACGTTTACATGCTATCTCTTATTTGTGGTCATTTGATTTGACTAGGTTTGAAAGATGTAATATGACGAAGATAATCAGAACAATGTGATATATTAGCACAAAATATGTTAAACAATCTGATCATACACACGCTTGTGAAGAAGGACGTGAAGCTCACCATGTTGGATGACAAATCGATGTGTGTGTGTGTGTGGCAACATAAATAGATCAGGTAATACAAATCATGACTTGTAGTTTCGTAGGAGATAATGATCAAACTTCGGTAATTGGAGGTATTTCAAGCTTTTGGCTGATTACCATTCATTTATTCAGTCAGTCATTGTTATATGGTATTTGGAGTGATTGTGCATCAGTTCAAGTTGTTTCACTATACGTCAGTAAACCGAGATGAAATTAATGACATAAGCAAAAGAGAATGCCAGGTATTATCAAAACCAATGGTATTCTAAACATGGTGAATATGGTTCATCGAAATGGAAGAAGTGAAATCGATGAGTGTAAAGTAGGAAATGATATTCGGTTTCTTAATTCAAAAGACTGAAAATCGATCGAAAAGTAACACAACTGGTGTCGTGTGATAAGTAAGAGTATTTGAACTGAAGTATGAACTAGTAATCCCAGAAACGACGCGGTTTAATCAAAAAGTTTTAGACGAGCAGGAACAAATGTATTGTATTTGGAATTCAAAATCAAAACAGTCATCAATACAAGGGAATCATTGGTTCATACAAACACCACATCCTCCACAGCTCAAATCGGAGTCTGTAATCGATTGTACGTCTTCTTCTTAAGTTCATCCTGTATCTGTCCAGCAGTGTATTGTATACAGGCTCTGTATTACCTAGAATGTACTCGTTAGTGTTAGAATTAACAACCGAAATTGGAACAAACTCACCTGATTCCTGGAATTGTATACAATCATCATGCCGGTTGTGTAGTGAAGCCACTGGTATCTAGAATTTGGATCATAGACTTTCAACACTATCCTCCTCAGCGAAATAATGTAGGGCCCTTATGTCACAATGCTATTCCCCATTTGACGTTCCTAATTTGCATTGTCTTCTCAAATCTCACACTTTTTTTAATCATATGTGAGTATTTGGGGATAAACACTGACAGGTAATTTGAGGCATTCCAACATGTGGACTTGACTTCCACAAACATAATCATACATATTCTCTTTGTTTTTCATATTAGAATACACAGATAAATATGCATTGATATGTGTATTTAACACATGTGACTCATCTAGGCTTGATTCACCTGCAAAACAATCAAAAGGAAAGCATGAATCTCCCTCATACTCATTAGGATAATCTTGGACTTGATTTGAATTCTCTGCCTGTGCAAACTCCATATCTGGGCAAACTGGTTCTCTGATTGCTTCAGGAAAACTTGCTATTCCCTCTGATTCATCAGACCAAGGGATTCTACTCAACAAATATTGTTCGTGAGAATATCCAACATCTGATACAATAACATCAGAAATGTGACTATAATTCGACTCATTCGGAACATATTTGTCGCACTCATTGAGGATATTACTGGAGATAGATCCATTGTGGAGAGAAATAACATTTGATATGACATCAGAATTTGATTTTCTGAAATATTTCCTTCAAATTTATTAGGAGTTTCATTAGGGAATAATGGATCATTAGAAAGATCAGCATCTACCAAAACTAAATCAGTTTTTTTTATCATAACATCAACATTTTATTCTCAGAGTTGCAAAACAATAGCATGAGAAATCCGATAAGAAGTTGGTTGGTTGGAAACTTTTGTCTCACAATGATTCTGGTGTTCATTCAACTCTGGACTGCTATGTGACGTTACGCCGCTTCTAGAACTCTTGAATGAAGATAAGTGATCATTAAAAGCACCCACCAGAATAAAATCACAAATTTCAGCATTAGTTTCAGCAAAATGAACCATGATATTACAAACTGACTGAATGTGTCCAGTTTTACCACATTCAAGGCATTTAGAATTACGAAATACACATGAATTACATGAATTACAGAGCACTTTAAAACCCACACCAAGTAAACAGTCACCTACAAACAAAACTCAGAATGAACGATAACTAGTCTGCAATCTGGTATATACTGCTATTGGTTGGTTTGAATAGAAGTCTAACAACGCTTTAAAGAAAACCTTTACGACCGCTGTGGACACTTTGTAATCGTTTACTCTATGAAAACTGGGATGTCAACTCTACCAAAAACACAAAATCAATGAGCCAGAGGTAAGATATATCGCTAAACCTACTATTTATGAGTAGTGTGGAGATAGAACCTTAAAACCTATTTTGTAAATAATTTTTCATAGTTTTCGCATGTATTTTCATATTCTGTATATTAAGCATTAAACAATTGTACTTGTTGTTTAAGTGTATTACTTTGAACGCTTGTAACTCGACTTCCTTCCGTTTTGAGTACAACATATCGTGACACTGTTACTGCTTCTCAATAAATACACTCTAATTCACATCTGCATCGTTCTGCCATGTCTGCTAATATGTTGAATGAAATATTGATTGCATACCATCTACGTTTATAGACAACTACGACATTCTTATTGAATTCTACGCTTGGTAAACCTACTGGATCTATATCGTCCATATTTGGATTACTCATTTTTTATAATTGTGGATTATTTGGACCAAACCCAGCCGAACACGCAATAGCCTGAAGACTTAAGTAACGTCCCTTATTTTGTTATTTGTGTGTGTAATTAACTTATTAACTGTTAATTGTTACATAAACTATAGACATAATATTTTTGTTGCTAATTTTTGGTTATCATACATTTTGGTCCACCACAATTATTTGGTGAGCCCAGTATTTTATTATCTCGCATTTATACCACTGTTATATTGTTCATTCGCTCATTACACGATACTCTAGCTCATTTTTAACCTAATGTATTCTCCACCTAAGCTTAGTGATATGGCGGATAAGGTAATGGAAGTCTGTCATGATAATCACTATATAAATACGATGCAGCCGTATGGAGCAGCTGATGTCAGTTACTTAAACTCTATTCAAAGACAATTATCTCAATTGACGAATCAACTTGAGTCCCTTCAAACCACTGTAGCAACGGTTCAGGCCAGACAAATAGGACCCCCTTTTAGACAGAGATCACGTTCTAGACCACGATCTCGTTCACCTAAACGACCATCCGAAATTTGTTGGTATCATACTAAATTCGGCACAAAAGCACGGCGTTGTACACGCCCGTGTGCATTCCCCTTACCCAGCACTGATAACCAGGGAAACGGTCCGGCCAGGCAGTAATGGCGGCGCCTGACTCTGGCCACAACTCAAGCCGTCTATTTCATGTCAGGGATCGGATTTCGGGCTCGGATTTTCTAATCGATACTGGAGCCGAAATAAGCATATTCCCACTTCATCTATCCCGACGACGGCACTCCCAACACGCTAAATTATCATTAGTGGCAGCAAACAATTCTATTATTAAAACGTATGGCGAGCAATCACTCATCTTAGACATCGGTCTCCGTAGACGTTTTACATGGGTTTTCATCGTCGCTGAAGTTAAACAACCCATCCTTGGAGCCGATTTTCTTAGTAACTACAATCTCCTTGTCGACATGAGAAAAAAGAAACTTATCGACGTGAATACAAGTCTACAGGTCAACGGAACAATCACCTGCAATTATGAAACTTATGGTGTCCGATTGCTTAGACCTGATAGTCAAACTTTTGCCGATCTTCTATCGAAGTATGAATGTATAACAAAAGCCGATTATCAAACTGAAAACTCCACACACCATGTTCAACATACTATCACTACAACTGGTCCACCTATCTGCGCCAAGGCGAGGAGACTACCACCCAATAAGTTGCAGTCCGCTAAAAGAGAATTTGAACATATGATGCAACTAGGGATAATCCGACAGTCTAATAGCCCTTGGGCCTCGCCACTGCACATGGTTCCCAAAAAAGATCAAGATTGGCGCCCTTGTGGAGATTATAGGCGTCTGAATAATCAAACAGTTCCAGACAGATACCCTATTCCTCATTTACATGATTTTTCACTAAACCTGCACGGTAAACTGATCTTTTCAAAACTAGACTTAGTTAGAGCTTATCATCAGATCCCAGTGGCACCTGAGGATATTGAAAAAACAGCTGTAATCACACCTTTTGGGTTGTTTGAATTCTTGAGTATGCCATTTGGGCTTAAGAATGCTGCGCAAACATTCCAACGATTTATGGACGAAGTCACGCGAGGTTTAGATTTCGTATTTGTTTACATCGATGACGTCCTAATTGCCAGCTCCTCACTTGAAGAGCATGTCCATCATCTGCAGATTCTCTTTGAACGATTCAAGAAATATGGCGTAGTTATCAACCCTACTAAATGCATATTCGGTACGTCTGCCTTAGAATTCTTAGGACACTATATTGATGCACAAGGTATTAAACCTCTACCAAAGAGAGTTGAAGCCGTCATCAACTACCCTGAACCCACTTCGGTTAAGTCATTACGTCGCTTCCTGGGTGCATTCAATTTTTACCGTCGATTTTTACCTAACTGTGCCGACGTTCTACAACCGTTAACTGACTAAAAAAATGATAAATCAGGTAGCAAAAAGGAAAAGAATCAACCATTCAAGTTACCTTCCGATGCCAAAACGGCATTTGAAAAAGCCAAATCTTTGATTGCTGACGCCACCATGCTACAACATCTAAATACTGACCCCAAAACTCATCTGATCCTCTGTACGGACGCATCACAAAAAGCCGTAGGAGCAGTATTACAACAACGAGTAAACAATACGATTACACCCATTGCTTTCTTCTCTAAAAGGTTATCACCTGTACAAGAGCGTTATAGTACATTCGGTCGTGAACTCTTAGCCATGTATTTAGCCGTTAAACACTTCAATTTTTTGCTACAGGGCCGGGATTTTACCATCATGACGGATCACAAACCCCTGTGCTACTCCTTTAGTATGTCGTATGACAGACATTCACCACGCGAAGCAAGACAGCTTGATTACATCTCACAATTCACCACAGACATTCAGTTTATCAAAGGTCACTCCAACATTGTAGCAGATGCGTTGTCGAGAAAAGACATCAATGTAGTTGCATCCAACCATGACGTCAACCTAGAAATAATCGCAAAACTTCAAGCAGACGATGCAGAGTTAAAAACCTGCAAAGAAAAGTCTCGCCTGAATCTCCAACCTGTACCCATCCCATTCTCCGACGCATCCATCATCTGTGACACATCAACAGGTAACAATCGTCCCTTTGTTCCACTTGTATGTCGCCAAAAGTTATTCCAACACTTGCATGGTTTATCACATCCGGGCATCCGAGCTACTACAAAGCTGATAACTGAACGTTTTGTTTGGCCGAAAATCAATTCAGATATTAAACGATGGACACGTGGTTGCCTTCAGTGTCAACGTAGTAAGATCCAAAAGCATACTATTAGCCCAATCGGAGAATTTCCTATTCCTGATAGACGTTTTCAGCATATCCATTTAGATTTAGTAGGACCTCTACCTTCGTCAAATTCTTTTACTCACATCCTCACGGCAATAGACAGATTCACTCGATGGGCCATTGCATGCCCCATCAAAGACACATCAGCTGAGACTGTAGCATCCGTTTTTCTAGACCGATGGATATCGCACTACGGTGTACCGACAACCATCACAACTGATCGTGGTCCCCAGTTCCAGTCTATCCTGTTTCAGGAATTCACAAGACTTCTGGGCGTAAAACACATCAGAACCACAGCTTACCACCCAGCAGCAAACGGCATGGTTGAAAGATTTCACCGGCAATTAAAAAGCTCACTCATGGCTCAAACTGATTCAACAAAATGGAGTGATGCCTTGCCGCTTGTTCTCCTTGGGATTCGTGCCACGGTGAAGGAAGACATAGGTTGTACACCCGCCGAGTTAGTCTATGGTACAACTCTAACGTTACCGGGCCAACTAGTCAACTGTGAACCTACAACGCAAGAAGATGCTACTCATTTTGCAAGTTGCCTATTACAAGTGATGCAGAACATTAGAGCAATACCACCGCGAGAATACAACAATCCAGTCCATCTCGACAAACATTTAGAAACGTGCAAATTTGTTTTTGTTCGAGTAGACGCGGTGAAAAAGCCACTGACACCACCATATGAAGGTCCGTATAAAGTAATAAAACGCACTTGCAAATATTTCATTATCAACAAAAACGGGAACAATGAAACAATTTCCATAGACCGAATAAAACCAGCTTTCTACGAACCCCCTCAAGCCACTGATGACAATACGGCGAACAAACAATCACTCCCATCAATTGCTAAGAAACAAGAGGAAGAGGAAAAACTCAGCACTACACCTTCTTGTTTAACACGCTCTGGGAGACTTATTAAAAAACCCAAACCTTATGTACATTTTATGGACTAACACAATCAATCAGTTGTATGCATTACTTTGTGAAGTTACGCAATCTTCTAATAAAAGATATTTATTTTCCCTACATGTACATTTAATAACTACATTTATTTGTTATCACTGGTTTTGTCAATTTTTTTTAATAAGAAAAAAATTGTCATAGTAATAAACGAGTGAATGCTAACTAACTATTTATTAAATTCATCCATTTTTTTTATTTTTTATTTTATGACTCTATTAACAGTTTTGCACATTTTATTATTATTAGCAAACCGAAACTTTGTAATGTTTGTTCTTCAGTTTCAATTGCGTAGCATAGCGTATATTATTAACGTGTCATTTATTCCTATCTCCACCTTTTTTTCCCGTTATTACAGTAAATACTATTTTATGTACATTTATACACAATATTTCTCAATTTTTGTTGTTCATATTGTAATCAGTGTTACCTCCGGACACTCTGGGGGGAGCTATGTGGAGATAGAACCATAAAACCTATTTTGTAAATAATTTTTCATAGTTTTCGCATGTATTTTCATATTCTGTATATTAAGCATTAAACAATTGTACTTGTTGTTTAAGTGTATTACTTTGAACGCTTGTAACTCGACTTCCTTCCGTTTTGAGTACAACATATCGTGACACTGTTACTGCTTCTCAATAAATACACTCTAATTCACATCTGCATCGTTCTGCCATGTCTGCTAATATGTTGAATGAAATATTGATTGCATACCATCTACGTTTATAGACAACTACGACATTCTTATTGAATTCTACGCTTGGTAAACCTACTGGATCTATATCGTCCATATTTGGATTACTCATTTTTTATAATTGTGGATTATTTGGACCAAACCCAGCCGAACACGCAATAGCCTGAAGACTTAAGTAACGTCCCTTATTTTGTTATTTGTGTGTGTAATTAACTTATTAACTGTTAATTGTTACATAAACTATAGACATAATATTTTTGTTGCTAATTTTTGGTTATCATACATTTTGGTCCACCACAGTAGTATCAGAATATGTTTTGCACTTCCCAAAGCATAAATTAACGTTTTATTCCGATGCAATAAAATGTATAAATGCATTCAACTTCAACAAACAAATCTGTAAAGACATAGTCGAAAATAGTTAAGAAATGAAAACATACATAGATTTCCTCCTACCTCTTGACTTTTCCAATCAACTTCTCAATCTTTGATATTCCGGTTAGATCTAAAAGTCAGTATCAAACATAACCGTTATACATAAAGACGTATATACTCCCAACTCAAGGCGCATCGCATCAAGGAATATCACCTTCAGTCAGCTCCGATCCAAAATGGTTAAATTAAAAATACGATGTTCAGTGACGGTTAAACATACAGACTGAGGTATCAAGACTTGGAAAAAAATTCCCATTCACTCCATAAATAAGCCTATTTATTTATTTAAACACATACATATTAGTAAAAAGGGGCGCCAGATACATATGCGCCACACAAAACAATGAGAATGGGAAGAGAAAGGGGGAGGATGCGTATACTTAGAAGAAAAAAAGGAGAAGAGTAATGATGGAGGGAACTGAATGTACAACCAGAAGACTCAGTTAAGAAAGTTAGAACCACTCTTTATGAAGAAAGTAAAAGGTTACAGCAGGACTGCCAGTGGCTTCTATTCTGAACCATATCTGATAATGTCTCTAGCCACTGTGTAGCACCATCTCTCGGACCTCAGCCAGGGAGTCGTGAAGGACCAACAGAAGCCAGCCCTTTGCAGCTTTCTTTCATGCCACGGCACCATGTCATACACTGACCACCTGTCCGCCTTTTCCAACCAGTCCCAGCGTCGGCAAATAATGCACGACGTATAATTCTCTGGGACGACATTCGTAGAACATGTCCAAGCCACCGAAGTTGGTGTTTCAAGATGG